TTACATGTTTTCAAGCGCTGTTATAATAATACTCCGCCCTAAGAAAGAACTCATATAATAAAACCAAATCGTGCTATTTAATAAAACCAAAATAAAAACTAATTTATAAGCACTTATTTTATATCTTCACTTCAATCTTTTATTAATTCTAAATAATTTTAAAAAATATACTCCCCCACAATATTAATTTCTGTTTAACAAATATTTTTTAACAATTTCTGTTTAAAATGCCGCCAAACTAAAAAACCTCTCTAGTTCCATTGAATGTTTTATATATGACTATACTATTTTCAATATGGAAACACTTCAATCTATACTAGGTACACTAATTAGCATCACCAAAATCAAGTTGAATATATACATACATATATATCTAAAAATAGGTACCTCAAATAGTTACTTAACATAAACTGGAAAATCTTAATGACTCGTCTATCATTGAATATACTGTTTCTATAAATAATTGCTAATTTACTACTAAACTTGACAAGAATCTAATCGATCTAGATCTAGATCTAATCTAGTCGTCTATCGTGTGATAAACTTTTGTTAATGCGATAAATCACCAGCTGTATGAAATTTTCATATATTTTGAACTCCGGCTTTTCAAACTGTGGTATAAATTCTGTAGCAATACATCCCATTATGTTTGATATCCCAGCAAATCTTGTACGATGAAGTTAATAGTCATTAAGTACCTAACGGAGGGAGTTAGAGATAGGTAGCCGTTCGATATTAAAGCATATTTTCGGAAAGGTAACACTTATCGTTTGTTTTCTTTAATCACTTATTGAAAATGATCATTTGAACAGCAGAGTTTAACCACAATAATTTTTTTTACAAAAATCTAATACTGCTAGCTAATGCCAACGACATTCATAGGCCATTGTTTGCCCTAAGCCCTGAGAAACGTCCCAGAAACTTATTTGAAGTAACAAATATAGGCGAAGCAAGTAGATCTTTTAATAAATGAGGAAAAAATAAATATACCCTCTCAATAAACATATATTCTGATCATCTTCCGACACAAGTCACTACTAATAACTGCATATTCAATATTGCAGATGACTTTATTTCTTTTGAGAAACAGAGTAAACTTCAGAATGACATCAGCCAAATGATTTAATGAAAAATGACATTTACCAATATCTTCCTCTTCGGATAGAGCATGCAATGGAAAAACCAAGCATACTTTCCATAAACAAAAATTGCGATTTTTAGTTTTATAAGTAGTTAACATAAATAAAACTCGTACATAAAGAAATTTTCCTTCTTGATTATTACTACGCCATTGCTTTTTATACATATGTATATGCGAACTTATCTACTTTGTTATATATCGATATTCACTTCATCACACTTCTATATGCACATTTGGAGGTAATCATTTAACAGTTAATCAAATGAGAATAATCATAATCGTATCAATTTTAAAGTCTAAAAATCTGAATGCAGAGGCTTGAAATCGGGTTTCATAACTAAAACTTTTTTCACAAAACTTCTTATTTTAAATGAATGAGTCACCCAGAAGCAAAGACGTCTCCAATAAGAGATATTGAAGTCGTTTCTTGGCTATGGTTTTGCATCCCATTGATTCAGTTTAGAACTATCATTCTTTAAGTACTCTCTTATTTCTAACTATTTTACGTCCCAGTTAACTAAAATTTCACTATTTAAAAAACATTCGGTTCTAAACCGCAGTTTTTTTGATTTTGACAATTGGCGATCGTAATAATATAAAATAATAGATATAAAACTAGAAATTAAAATATTGAAATAGAAATAGAAATAGTAATAGAAATAAAAAATAGAAATATAATAATAGGAAATCTGACAGTCTTACTTTATGATATTATGAAATGGGAAGCATTTTGTTATTATTTATACTGATTTACTATTCAGTTTCTTCAAAAGTAAACTTTTCGTTTAGGAAATAGTCAACTTCTCCTCTATGGCAAAAATACGATTTTTTTTTAATTTACGAATCTATTACCCAATTCACTGACACTTTAGTAGAAACAAATTGTAGTGGATGAACTATTATTACAGAATTTGCAAAACGCACCCATTCCAATTCTATACAACAAAAACTATGAATAAAGCAAAGCGATTTACAGTGAAGTAGATGATATAGCTAATTATTACTATACTTTTCTTTCTTAATATGATCGATGACTATAATATATATATTAACGTTCGTTTTGGTTCATGCCCAAGTAACTTTAACTATTTTTATATTCCAAGCATTAAAATGTTACAATTTTAAACAACATTTGGTGTTGCTTATATGTTTTCTATCACACGTAGTGCTTTTATACAGCATTTTTATAATGTGCAAGTCTAGAAAATTTTCTGTCAAAGAAAAAAAAATCAATTAGCCAATATTATTCTAGTAAGGTAAAATGTTAAGCTTCTACCTATTTTTAATTATTATTTCTACAGTTGAAACAATAACTTAATATAAAAATAAAAAACTTCTCTCTCACCGTCTTAATGACAGATCTCGTCTCTCTTATGTCTGGAATTATATACTCGAAATATGTTGCACTTTAATCGACAATACATCGGAAATGCAGATAATCTTAAATTATAAAATCTTACTATATTTTAAAAATAAATTCATATGATAAATATAAAATAGATGCCGGAGATTGGATATATATTTACCTCTATCCAGTTTAATTGCTTAAAGCAATTCCCTCTCGAATGAAGAGACAAAACTTATGACTTTTCTGTTGAGTAGAATCTATCAAGTCGATGGATTCACTTGGTTTAGAAAGTGCACAAAGGTTAGTGTTATAATGACTTTGCACTGATAAAATATTAATCCATATATCGAAATGTTAATGATTAGAAAAATCTTGGTAAATAGCTCTCTCTCTAGTTTAAATTTAAGTATGTGCTACAACTCAATTCAACTAATTTATTGATGATAAGAAGTAATAGATATACTATATTGGAAAAACAATATAAAATTATCTGGTGTCAGTTTCAAATTTCACCCATTTTGCTTTAATCCCTAATAATCACTCAGAATCATATAGATGTATCAAACAAAACTATACCGTGCTTTCAAACATAGCAGCTCCATTTCATTGCCACATGAGTAAATCGTAACGGATCCATTGGCGTTGCCAAGCAGTATTTCAGAGACTCTCTCTCTCTCTCTTTACCCTAAAATCATGGGTATCCTAATATTTTATAAATAGTAGGGAATCTGCCACTCCCTTAATTTAAATAATAGGTAGAGTAGGTATGTTGTGTACAGTAGAAAGGACCAGATTATCGATTTTAATATCCATAATATAGACATTGGATGGAACATTACTACTTACATCATTTCCTTTTAATGGTCACTGTTTATGCGAGAAACTCTTCAAATATGCTTTCCCATACTACATTGTCAAGCTTTCCTAACTTTTAATAGCTAGAGCTGGAAATATTTGATATATGTCTAAAATGTTGAGGAACCACTCTTATCAAATTTTTTCGGAAATAAAACACAAAATATTTTTAATTTTTTTTTATTTTTATTTAATTTTTTGTAATAATTTATTTTAAATATATTGTAGCGTACTTTATATAATAATTTCATATGTTTTTATTTTATTTTATTTTATTTTGTTTTATTTTATTTTATTAAATAATATATATTTTTTCTATTACAAGAAGCTTTTAAATAGTATATTTTTATTTATAATTATAAATGTTTTACTGCATAACATTGAGTTTATTTTTATTTAAGTTTGTGTAATTTTATATGTACGAACAATTTTTTCTTGTTTATGTGAACAACGTGTATATGTGTTTCTATATATATATAACTGCTTTTCTTCCGTACTATATTTAACCTTTATTTATTAAAAAATTTTTTAATAAAATTTTTTTTATTTATTAATTTTTTGGAATTTTTTCTATACGAAAATCTTAAATAGTTAAGTATTAAATTTTAGTTTTTCTACCGAGAATGCAAATATTCAAAGTTTTGCATTAGAAATAAGCAAAAAGACATTTTCAACTTTAATCGTTTTTATTAATAATTTTTTTAATAAAAGTATTTTTTAATTTTTTTTTTTAATACAATTTTTAAGTAGTTTGAATATTTGAAAATTATATTGGAACTAAAAACTATGCTCGAAAACATTCCTTTCGAGATTTCGACGTAATTAACTATGATTACAATTTTTTTTATATATATAAATATTTTAAAATTACATATTAGATTATATTTCAATAAGTACGTAACTATATATTTTGTTTTTGTTTTTGTTTTTGTTTTTGTAAGTTTTATGATTTATGTTATATATTTTAAGTCTTTAAATTTGCATGTATTGTAGTTGAATATCTGAAATATGTATGTATGTACAGTTTAGACCACTGAATTCTGGCATAGTTGAATTAAATACGTACAATACTCGCAGCAGACAATGCCTGAAGGTAAATTTTAAAATTATTTTAAAATTTTATGTCTTAAGTAATTTAATTTTTTATTTTTTAATATTTTTTTTTTATAATTTTTTTTTTTTTGGTTTTATTTTCTTACTGTTTGAAGCTGGAGGTGATTGCTTACTTAATATGTATTTTGTTATATTTACATAAATGTTTTCAATTTTCGTGAATAACCATTCTGTTTATATGAGTTTACTATCGATTAAAAGCACAGATTTAATATATTATTTATAGCGCAAATCTAACCATTAAATTTGTTTATAGTTTTTATATAATTATTTACGTATGTTTTTAATAAAACAAAGCAAGTATTTCTCATTCATATTAAAATTTAATTTAATGAGCGACAAACTTAGCAAAAAAATGTATAAAATTCTCTAAAATCTATAATAAATGCTTAGCCTATGCGATATATATAATTATTATGTACACAATTTTTTTTATTATTTATTCATAATGTTTATAGTACTTTGTATTTGAAATTAATTAGTTTTTTAATATGCATTCATATTCAACTGGGTTATTTTTATGTTCAGTAGCATCTTCGCAAATTACACAATTTAAATAAAATATTTTTTCAAAATATTTTCATAAGTATTTCGTATACTACAAATTTCTACTATAAGTTTAAGTTTTGTTCTTTAAGTATTTACTTAATTTTTTTTTTTTTTTGTTTATTCTGTTACATTTTATTAATAATTTTTTTGTTTTATTTACTGTTAAGCTGTCTTGATTGCACTTTGAGATCATGTAAAACTTGCTAAATACCTTTTATTCTTACCCTCGATTTTCTATTTAATATTAATGTATATCTTTATGTATATTTAATGCATATAAAAGATAACGTTTCACTATTACTTACTACCAAAGCTAATAATTAAATTTTGCCGTCGGAAAATCACAATATTTTTTTAAAATAATCACTTCTTTAATAACAATTTTTTTTGTAATTATTTTTTAGCTTACAACTCTTTTAGAAAGAGCACAGGGAGTTCAAATTATTGTTAACAAATTAAAACAAAATTCAAAAAAAAAAAACAAATAACGGGTGCCTTGCCTTAATTCGCACTGCCAAATAGTACAGAATTTTTGTAGTATGCCTGTTGTCTATCTGGTAGAGGACTTTTGACATCTCGCTCGGCATTGGCAGCACGCGATTTACGCTCCATTTCGATTTCTTGAGCGAGCGATTCTAAAATAAGAAGAAATTTACTAAAATAAAAGACGTATGCCTTTCTTAGTTTATTTTGCATTAAAAATTACAATTATTTTCATATTGTAAAATCTAGTTTTCTGCTATTTTTATTTACAACAAAATGGCTCATATCGAATAGACTTTCTTCATATTCCATTACTTCCAGAAGAAGAACTGATCTTTTTTTTTTTGTTTTCTTTTTTGAGGAATCTTTTGCTCTTTTATATAATTCTTATACAATATTATTACTAATATTTTTATTTGATAGTATGAAACACCTCAGTAATATATGGAGCTAAGTTAAAGAAAATTCCCTTGCCACACAACTTTAATTATGAAAGTGGAAAAATGTAAGGACCCCACCACTGTACTTCATATCATATTACCATATTATCATATCATATTACTGAAATGCATGAAAAAAATATCTGTGACATGCTATTTTAAATAAAATATATATTATAGGAAAGGAGACATTGTTAGTTTATTGAATGTGAAAAACAAGTGCATTTCAAAATTTCTAATATTTTCTATATCTATTTTTCTATACCATGCTATTTCAAAGAAGAATACATCATGCTATAGGTTTATAAGTTGAGACATAGCAATGCAACTTGAAATTATTCGAACACTAACAGAAATTACCAGAACCATGCAAAAGATCTTTCTATAATTTCATATATTAAAAAATGAACTTATTCTACTAAAAGAGTTAAAGTTAATTTATTAAAAATAAGTAAAGAATACATTTTATTGGATTATTGGAACACCACCAGTGCTAACTATAACCTTTCTAAAGATTTATTTATTATTTATAAAGAAACTTTTATTCTTTCATTGAGTGTGAACATGAAATATCTAAAAATCATTGGATCACCTCTAAAACTAACTAGAACCTGTGTGAAGATTTAAGTATGATTCTATTTAATGTATGTTTAGAAAATCATACAAATTATTTAAAAAAAGTTACTATTAGAATACTAAATTTAAAATAGTTTCACAACTTGAAATCCTTGAAACATATTTGAAACTAACCAGAACCTTTCTGAAGTTCTACTTATACTCATATGTTTAAACAGTTATATATATTATATCAAATAAATTATTATTAGTTTGTTAAATTCTCAATAAGTATCACAATAGAACCAATAGATTAACGTATATCTATTATCATGCTGTTATATATTATCACACATATTATATCAAATGAGATATTGTTAGTCTATGAAAGTCATTGGAATGCCAACAAAATAAAACAGGAGATATCTTTTCATAACGCAATCCCAACAAAGACAGTTCACTCTTTTATGCTTGTTCAATCGTATTAGGTTAATTTGAGGCTGCGAAGCTCAAGCCTGTACCTCACTTGTCTCCTAAACATCAGATTCTCTGCCAATAATAGGTTAAAATTAAAAAAATTAGGATTTATGAGAGTTAATGGAGAGTTTATTTTAAAAGACCCTTTAGGAATAAATGAGCTTCTTTCTTCTAGACATCCTTTCCCAAATTTTCCACTCTTCTTTTCAGTTAAACCAAAATTAACCTAAAACCGTTGATATAGGGTCCAAAAAATTTATATATATCATTTTTGTCGCACAATGTTGTTAAACATAATATTTATTTATTTTTTTTGTTTTTCTTGTTTTTTTTTTGATGCTAATGGGTCTTTGTTTATTAAGTGAGTGAACGTAAAAGTGAACATATTATAAAAAAAATTAACACAGTGTGGTGGTAATTTTAAATATTTCTTGAAATATTTTTTGAGTTTATTCTCAGAGCGGATTCTATTAACAACTGATCATCGGATCAATGATCAGTACATTTCAAAATTTGCTATTTGAGAGAGATATAATTGTGTTACCGGCAGACGACTACACCAATTGTTCTCCTGAGTTGATAGCCAAAAAGAATATATAATGAAACTGAATTATTATATACTAAAATAAAAAGGAACTTTACACTATAAAAAATATAGGTATATAGAGTCGCTAACAGTTTTGGGACCACAGTTCTAACTATGTTATTATTCTAACTAGTTTTAGTAAAGTTTAGTGTTATCAATTTGCTGAAAATTTAAGTACTATTATTTAGCTTATAACTCTTTGTTTAAACAAAAAAAAAAACAATTCTTCTCAAAAAAAAAAGAGTACTCTATCTCAGTACTCTATGAGCGAAACACTATTTTCCTTATTATAATATATGGGGAACTTAAATTAATTAATATTACAAGGTATTGAATTTTTATAGAGCACAACTTTATAATTAATAGTATAAAAAATATACAATTAATTTTAATAATAATATTTATATTGTATTATATTATATTATATATTTATATTGAAATTTATATATTATATATAATAGAATTATTATTTCATCTTTAATGTAATTGTTTTGATATTAAACTGCAAAATTCATTATTTGTTTTATTTTTTATAGCATTTATCAAAGTTATCAAACTACTATTTGATATAAATTCATTTGTTAATTTATTTAATTTTTATACTTTGAGCCATGTTTGTAAATAAAATATTTTTAACTAGATTTTACCCGCGGCTATGCACGCGTTCTTTATTTTTCTTTTCAATTTCATTTCGTTTTAAGAGTTAGGCATGACAATTGCTGCTCCTCCCATTCACTTGAACCAATTCTTTCGAAGCTCAAATATTGTATATATACAAACAGCTTAAATCTACTCCAGAGTGAATGAACAATTTTCAAACTAAAACTGAATTTTCATAAATTTAAACTGAATTTTTGATAGCAGACACCATGACCTGGCTTAAACGAAAATTATTTTAAATGTCTAACAAAATACATTCAATTTATTGAGTATTTCAAATGAATCTTGTCTTATTCATTATTGCAGTAAATTTGCAGAGCGAACGAACGAAAGAACATAAACCCTCAAATGCACATATATCATTATATACGTATATACCATATATATAAAATAAGTCTTATATTATAAAAATATTAGAAGTTAGAAGTTATGTACTAAGCATACAGAAGAGATCATGTATACTATCTATGCTAATTCACTATAAAGAGTGACTGGATAAGTGTCGAAGACTCGTAGGACTTGCAGTGTCGCAGGACTTGCAATGTCGGACGTTCACCTTTCAAAACTTCGACTTTTCGTTATAAAAACTAATTTCTTAACACTTCGCATGTGTTTAATATATTGTATTAAAGTAAAAAATATTTCTGAAATCCCCGATTCTTATATCTTTTACGTGAGGTTTTATTAAATGTTTTTTGAGTTGATCGTTACGGACATAAACCAATTTAACCAATGCATACACATAACTCCTAAACTGCAAGTTTTTACACTTCAGTACATTTTGTCTTTGTGTACAAATTTAATTTTTTTTTTAATTAATTTTATTAATTATACAATTCATTATTAATTTGTTTTTAATTTTCATTATCTCTCATAATTCTTTTACTTTGTTTTTTTCTTTTTTTTTTTAAACAAAGTTTTCTTTCAACTTTTCGTTTAATTTAGTTTAAAAACTTACCGGAATAATTTTGCCAGAAGGCACCGGTAGCCATCAAATCGATGCCTGGATAATTCCATGGCGCTTTTCCATTGCTAGCAGCTGCTGCTGCCGCCGCTGCTGCAGCTGCCGCCAGACTACCCTCTGCTTGTGTTGTGGGTGTGATATTTAGTGTTGCGTTATTCTCACGATCGCTGCTGCGTTCGCGATCACAATGTTCACGTTCTAAACGTTCCAAACGTTCGGCGCAACGTTCCAGGCGATCAGCACTGCGTCGATCCATTTGACTGTCGTGATCTGTGAGTGGTTCACGCTTAAAGTTTGGACTTTCGGAACGTTGACGTAAGTGGCGTTGATGTTGCTGTTGCTGATGCTGTTGTTGCTGCAGCTGTTGTTGTTGGAGTTGGTGTAGTTGTGTTTGTACGCAGCCATCGTTGGAGTTTAAGGATTTCTCAGACTTTTCACTCAATTTGCAATCGTTATCTATGGGGGTAGAGGGAAAGCAGAGGGAGCTGTTTGTTAAAGGAAGTTATTTTAGAAAACTGTCTGGTACACGTTTCAATAGAAGTGTAGGGGAAGTGGTGTATTGAATTTTTATGCAATAATTTATATATATATATATTCTGTTAAACTAGATATAGCAGTATTCGTATATACTTTTTTTTTGTTAATTTTTTTGCCTTAAATTCGAAATCAATTGTAATTTGGTTATATCAATTATATTTTTTTTTTGGTTTTTTTTTTTTTTTGAATGGGAAAATTTGCAAAAACTAAAAATTGACTTAATCTAATGAAATGATTTACAAAATTTTATTTTGTTTAGTTTTAAAACAAAATTAACCTTGTTCGTTTTTACGTGAGGCTTCCGTGCTGCCGTTTTTACACTGCATTGAATCACCCGTACTGTTGTTGCTGCGACCTTCATCGGCACTACCAGCAACGCCGCCGCCGCCGCCAACCACATTGATTGATGAATGCATAGAGCTCTTACGTTTACTGCCGTCCATTTGTTGCTGGTAGCGCATGCGCATTTTGCGTTCACGCCGGTACCGCTTCTGGTACAAAACTGCAAAGAAAGAATTTTTTTTTTTTTGAATATGTATAGAAGAAACGTGCTTACAATGCATATAAACGTGAACAATAAAAATAATTACGAATTGAAATTCAATATGCGAAGGCTTTGCATGTGTAACGCATTTGTCCTACAGAGACAAACTCGCACATCAAAAGCAAAACAACGGCGAATGTATCTGCAAGATATCAAATTCGATCACATTTCAATTCAATCATTCAACATCGTTTTGCAAAGCATTCAACTGCGAATCCGTTTTGCGTGTGGCCACCTTTTTTCAATTATTATTAATCCTGACTTATACCGGGCAAATTGGCAAATCGTAGAAATTCGAGTTTCTACGTACAGTCAAATCGAATTAAGGCGAATGAGTCCATGAGTGTTTATTGGTGAAATGAAGTGCGAAAAATGTACATGAAGTACGTTCAGAGTTCAAGACACGGAGCTGTGTTGGTGTCGAAATTTTTAAAAAGTTCGCACACAAAAATTTAAAGCGATTGAGAATTGAAGTGACAGAAAAGGTACATTTAACAAATACAAATAAATTAATTGATGTTTTTATTTATTCATGAAAAACCAAATAAGTTCAAAGATGAAGAAGGCAAGGTTTTTGTCAGAAGTGGATTAAAGCAATGAACTAGATCTTAACTAAACATATTGCAAGTACTAAAAAAATAAAATTTTTACAACTCTATTAGCGAAATATTACTTGATTTAAACTATATTCTATATATTCAAATATATTTTTTTTATACAGTGAAACTTCCCTTAACAGATACCTCCCTTGCACGGAGGTTACCTTAAACGGACCAAAACCAACATTTTTTTTGCATTTTTCAAACAAACTCTCTTAAGCGGATCCTCACTTATATATATATTTATATATATGTATTGTTATATAATAATATATATTGTTCAGTATATATAATATACTATAATAAATGGAAAATATTTTAAATAGGTTTAAAAGGCTAACGTAACTCCAAAATTTTCACACTCCCAAATTATTTATGGAATATTTCTGTTTCAATTGAGTCATAATTCCTTAGCAACGGATTTTTTTCTTACTAACATAATGAGTATAGTTTTTACTTGGAGGTAGTTTCTTCAACAAACTAAAACATTGCATCGGGACAACCCACATAAAACTGTTGAAAAGCCATTGCATCTGCAAAAACTCAATGTGTGCTATAGCATATGATCTGGAGATATGATAAGCTTGTATTTTTCTGAAAATGAGTACAGTTAAAATGACAAGCTGTCAATTCTAAAGACTATAGTCACACAATTATTAATTATTTTTTAATCTGAAATTGAAGATATGGAAGGTATGGGAATGAAGCACCATATGTTGGGTCAAAAACCACACAATACGTCCTTGTTTTGGTTTTGTTGCTTGAGAAATTATCCGGTAGTATATTTTAATGATTTAATGAGGTGAATTGGTCACAAATGCTGTAAAATTTGTGACCATTAAATTTTTTTATGTGGAGTTTTGCAACACATGCTGATAGTGCTCAAACATTCGATCCTCTGGAATTGGCATTTAGTATCGAACAATATTTTTTAGATAATATTTCATAATATTTATTTTTAGAACAGAAAAAAAAATTCCATATAAATTCTTTGCTCTCAATTTTACCATTTGTTTTTAATAATTTATTTAAAAATAATTGAATTAAATATGAGATTTAAAATTAAAATATAGTAAATAAAATACGAAGCAGAAAGGTATTCTTTAAGCAAAAACTGAATTCATCAAATTTAAGTTATTTTTTTTTTATTTCTTTATATCTTTTACTTCGTTGATCACTCCTAAAACTAATACGCCCTGACACACCTAAACGCCATGTGCACTCAAGTGTTACCGAACCAATTTTGTGTAGGCTTTTTTCACTTAAATAATATCTTTATTTAATATTTTTATTATTTTTTGCTCAAATGGTTTTAATTTCCCTATATTTGGAAAGAAATAAATTTTGGGTTCTTCCTCAATGTATTTCCATTATTTTAATTCATCTTACAAGTACTGTATTTTCTATTATTATTTTAAAGATTTTATTTTTAAATTTTTAGCTTTTTTTTATTAAATAAATACCTAATATAATTACTTCAAAATATAATTAAGTATAGAAAAAAAATCCTATTACATTATTTATTATATTGAGATTGTTTACAGACGACGAATCTTAAAGAAAGGGTTTCACAATAATAAATGTACGAAAAATGTTTTGAATTAAGCATCCCTGTTGTATGATAAAATATATAATTAAAATAATTATTTAACAATTAAAAATAATAAAAAAAATTAATATAATTAATTAATTTAATTATTCTACAGCTGGTTTATAAATTCGTTCTTATATAAACACAGCAAGTGAATTTGTTAATAAATCTTTCACAGCAATTTAATAAAACTCCAGAAAAATGTGCGAACATAAAAGTCAAGCACGGCTTTGGGTTAGTTAGTTAAGGAGCGCTGACTCTGAGCTTTAAATTTGGCAGGACACGAGTTCCATTGCTGTTACTTGCAGTCTTAAAAATATATTTACGAAGAAATAAATACAAGAAATAATTCCAAGATCACTGATAATGAATATTTGGCAATACTAGAAACAGCTGTATGGTGAGCCAAAAATTTAATTAATTAAACTAATATAAAATGAATTTTTGTTGTTGTGATTCATTACTGTTCTAAAAACCTCTTTATGAAATAATTACTTAGTAAATATGTTGGGTTGCTTTATGTCTTTATTGGAACAGATATATATTCCTGCTCTTTTTTATTGGATTAGAGATGATATATTTTATTATCGTTCATATAAATCTGAAGTAAAAAGAACGTTTGATACGTGCATACCACAAATCAAAAAAAAAAAAAATAAGTAAAAGTAATTGAGTAAAAAAATGAATAAAAATATCTAAAATTTTATTTAAAACTTTAGGAAATGATAAAAATGCGAAAGATGTTATATTGTTAATAAGATTTCTGAAACAGCAGGTGTTAATATTAATTTATATTATTATATTTTTTTTTAATTTTATTTATTTTTTTTATTTTATTTTATTGTATTTTATTTTATTTAATTTTTTTGCCGAGGTTTCGAACAGTAGTGATTCCGCAAAAAATGCAATTAATTAAAAATAAATAAAAATTGTGTTGTTACAACTCATTACAGTTCGAAACCTTTTTAATTAATACAATAGTTTCTACTAAGTAAAATAGTCACTTTTACCAACGTTAAAATCAACTTTAATTTTTTTATTTTGCATTTTATTTAACTTCAATAAATACATCAAAACTTCCTTATAACAATTTTGACTTATTTCTTTTGTTTATTCATTAGTACCCAGGGCTTAGACAAAGCCGTACTCAAACCGTACTCCTATAAAAACATTCTTAAATTCTCAAAAGATATTTTAAACTTGCTAAAGGGTTTCATTACGAATCTTTATTTCATGATCTGAAATATCACCTTCATACTCCACGATTATCTGATAATTCGGAATATAGATGATGTCTCGAAAATGGGGAAACAATTATGCATATCATATGTGACTGTCCAGCTTTAATAACGCACAGAAGAAACTTATTTTATATGAAATTTCTGTCACTAGAACAGATTAAGAGTTCTTCTCCAGATTTATTTAATTTATTTGTGAGTTAACATTAAAATTAATTTTAAAGTTTACTAAGAATAAGGACCTGGACTGCTAGGTTCTTTGTCCGCTCTCTAGATTTAGTTTTGGGTGTTGTTCATAAAACTTTAAAGGGGAATGAGTAATTAAAAGTGAATTTGGTATAATAGGACACTTCTGACAGCAGTACCGGTTGTTGGGCAATTTCACATAGTACTCATACATACTAGAAAATTTGTGTATTACTGTTGAAAAAAGCTATAGTTATCAATCTTCAAAATGAAATCACAGGAATACGGTGCGTGATAGAAGAAAAATTCTTCAACCAGATATATTTGTAAGATGATAATACCATCAAATTCCCTAAACCGATTTATGCTATTAAGTAATTTAATGGACTAAAAATTAGTAAAGAGTTTAAATTGTTTGAATTAAACTCTTTTGAGATATTGACGGAGATATCGGTGTGCTTATTTTTTTTGGTTAAATAAATTTCGGGTTGTTAAGAGAAAGCAATATTGAAAATACATCTTTTCTTCCTTCAAATTTTTTTTTTTTTTGTTTCCTGATCAAAGTATCATTTTCCGCTTAAGTTTTGAATAAGAATGGAAAGGTGCTATATACTAATTTGAAATAATGAAATAATTTTAATTATTTTAATTATTATTAATTATTTTTCTCAAGTATTAATATTCTTAAAATTTATTCAATTTCAAAGCCTTATTTACCTTGACTCAATAATTCTCACACTTTAGTCTGTACTAATTTGTTCACAATCTCCTACTGACTTATACTTTTATGACAGTCGTATTTTCAATGTCTTTAAATTACGAATCAAAAAAGTTATTAACAAAATGAAATGTAGATACTTAAGAAGAATTAAATCATTTTAAATAACCATGGCAATACGGCGCATATCAGATAGGTATATCTGTCTGCAATAGAATGCGGCCGGATTGTCTCGAGGCATGCTTCAGTTCTCTTATTGCAACTTTGTCAATCATTCGAGTGTAACTAAATAATGAAATGATATTAAATTAATTTGAACTGTGATTTCTGTTGAAAACGGAATACTTGAAGGACAATTTTTTTGCTTCTTATTATTATTGTTATTATGCTGAATTTATCTTTCTGAATCTTGCTAAAGGGGAACCCTTTATGGGATATCAGGTGTCATCGTCATTTTAGTCACTTTGCATTAAGAGCACTTCAATGGAGCTCGTTTGCGTTTGATATTTTTTTTTTTTGTAACAAATATAAAATTTTAAAAACACAATAATTTAATCAAAAAATTTATCTTTACACTGTAAAAAATAAATAATTTTCAATATTATGTTATTAACATAACTGTATTTATACAAAAACAAAAAAACATTATGGACGAACCTGACATTTCGTGTATGAAATCACATTCGCATAGTACGTAAAATTTTGAATGGATTTACGTAAAAAAATTCCTATGTATGTTCAATAAATAGGATTTAGTAACAAAAAAATAAATATAAATAAAAATATATACAATAAAAAAATTTGTCATATATCATTTTTACCCTAACTACTAAAGTTTAGGATGAGTCCGTGTAAATATATAAGGTTTTTTTGTTGTAAAGTGCATTGACAATTTTGGGAAGTGATTCCTTGATACAAAAACAGAAAAAAATCTCAGGAAAGGTACCGTTAATTTTCAACTCAATATTTTTGAACTTATAGAGTATCAAAGCAAAATAACTTTAATATCTAATCTTTAATATCTAACTTCTTTATCTTATCCAGTGTTCGCCAAATATATTTCGGGAAATGATTCTTTATTTAAAAAAATTAAAAAAACATGGGAGACATAGGGTTATTAATTCTCAAAATATTTTGATTTATAAAAAAAATGGAAAGAAGAAACTAAATAAAAAAAGAGATTTTGTCATAAAAACATCTTGAACACATTATCAAGTATTCAACGAGATAGGGTTAGTTTTCAATGATTTCCGACTTATAGTGAATCAAAAGAATTAACTCAATAAAAAAAGAACATTTAGTCCTAAAACCTCTTTATCTTAACAAGTGTTCACCAAATAAATTAAGCTTAAGATATAAGATTAGGATTAAGATAAATAAGTCAAACTAACCTCTCAGTTTGCGTTCATCGACCAGTTGCCTTTCCAATGAGTCTTTGACTTCACGCTCTCTCAGAACGTCCATTTTAAGTTCAGCTGTAAGATACATTTAAAAAAAAAAATACAAAACAAAATTTATTAAAAATTTCAATTAGCAGCAAAATTAATGTTAAATATAAGAAAAATTAATATAATAAATATTCCATTTCAAATCTTTCAATTTTAGATAATAAAATCAAATTTTTCCTTTAAAAGATTGCTTTGATTTACCTTTTTCGTAGCTGATTTGCCGCTCCTGTTGGCGAGCATTATCGGCAGCAACCTTAAGAAGACTTTGAATGTTGCGCAATAATGTTTCGGTTGACGAAGGTGCACCACCATGTGGATCCATGGCAAGTGGACCAAGCCCTAAGCCACCAGCAAGTGCTGCGGCTGCAGTCGCATCATTTGCAGCTAAAATGGAAGCTTCATTTGGTGTCAAGGCGCCCGCTGTTGGACCATTTGGCAATGCCGAATTTGTACCGGGGCCGCCGCCACCATTGGCTACCGCAGCAGCGGCAGCTAATGTTGAATAATTAAGTGCACGTTGATGCTGCTGTAATGCGGCCACTGCAGCGGCATTGTGCGTTGGTACAGGTGATTGCTGAAGACCACTGTGAGCATTGTTGTCGCGTTCACTGACACCGCTATTACCGCTACCGCGATGTTCGCCGACGGTATTTGTGCCGCCATGATGATGTAGATGACGCTGTGATGCAGTTGAAAGATTATCACGTTCGGTGTCACTCAAATCTGTGCAGCAATAAAAGTGCATCGTGTAAACAGAAAAAACAGAAATAAAGATAATGCAATTAAGACAAGCAATTAAGGAAACAAAGTATTGTCAGTTAGCTGTCATATAGGTAACAATTTATTTTCAGTTTGTTGATAAATATTGTTCTTAATAATAATAATAATTTTTGCTTTATTTATTTTCAGGTATTTTGTAATCTCTTTAATCAAAATGTAAACAAACAACACAACAGTTTACTTACCTTCATCATCTTTGCCAATGCGTTCATCGACTTCCGACGCATCGCTGAGATTCTCCTCGTCCTCATCATCAACACCAATTGCTCCACGGCTAACACCACCAACGCTACCTTCTCGCGCCGAATGCATTGGGGAATGCATTTCGCTGCGTTCACTACGATCATCACAAATACTGCCATGATCCGTATTACCTCCGGATTTAGACAAATTCAAAACGGGACTTTGACGATTTGGTGAACCTTTTAGTGGGTTTAGATTAAATGAAAGAGAGAAAAAAAATATGCAATTTTTTTATTACATGTAGGAGAATCTCGTTTGAAATAGGAACTTACAATTACGTGAACTTAGGTCTCTAACTTTTGGATCACTACCAACGCTGCTGCTGATTTGCTGCCGTTCATCCGTGCGTTCTTCACGTAAGCTAATTAAGAACAGGGATATATATATAGAAAACAGTACTTATAGACGAATTTGTATATAATGCATGTAAAAATAGACTTGATTCTTCTAATTTTACTAATTAGTATGTAATGTTAAGCAAATAAAAGTATGGGAATCTCACTAAGTCTTATGAGAACTCATAACTCATTTCATAAGTTTTGGATTTTTTTTTTCTAAAAAAATTAAAATATTTCAGTTCATTGAACTATTTCACTTACCGTTCTAAATGTTTGACAATATCCTCATATGCGGCCCGACAATTTTCCCAAATGCCGGAACGTGCCAGTGCATCCATATTTGCGGCAGACATGCCGCTCTGTGCGGCGGCCTTAAGCATTTGACTATCGGGTCGTGCGTGCAATCCATGAGGTGGCATACCCGGCGACATTAACGCCGAACCAGGATGATGATTCATTTGCATAAATGCCATGTGATTAATGGGAGGAGGATTATAGCCGTTAGCTAAAAGTGGAGATTTCTCTAAACGATTCATATCTAACCAAATATCAAAAGGAAACAAAAACAAAAAAGGATATCAAAAGTCTTATGGGACATGAATTATATTTATTGTTTTTTATTCTGCTTTTATACTTGTCATGTACGATATGTCAACAATACTCTTTCAAAATATCAACTTAACATTCTTAACATTAATATTTAATTTTTCTGTTATATTTGCCCCACTAACACACTTTGATATGTAACGTATTAATACAAAATACATACATACATACACATATTAATTAACTAATCATTTTACTTGCATTAAATAAAATAGTCTGCTCATATACATACATACGTATTTAGTACCAACAAAAACACACGCATAAAGCTATTAGCACAGACAAATTACAAAAACAAAAATGTGCATATAATAATAATTCATGAAAGTAGTAGAAAAAAATAAAAAACATAACTCAAAATAAAAACAAATCATTCGACCGTCTGGCTTTGTGTCTGTGCTGCAGTGTTAAAAAATTCACCTGTATGCAAAAAAAAGTAATAGACCACATGTAGGTTTGTGCCTTTGTGTGGCCAGTCAAAGCTTTTCGTTGTGCCCACAAACATTTTTAGTAATAGTTAACATGCATACGAAACATTGAAGCCAATTTTGTGTGTGTGTGTTTGTGTGTATGTCAGTATGCATTTTAAATTCAAACTGTGTTTACTTTTTTATTTGTAAATTTTTGGTTACAAACTTATATGTTCGTCTGCAAGTATGTGTGTATGTGTGTGTGTACAGCACTGTATGTTTTTATTGACGTTCAGCATTGACAAATGCTGGCGTGAAGTGTTAGAATATGAATTGAGTTTGATTAAATTGTCAAATAGCTATAAATTAAGCAAATAAATGTGTTTTTGTAACGCAAATGGATATGTAAATATGTGTGACTAAAAGTCAATATGGCGTCAATTAACATCGTTTTAACATGAGGTTAATGAATAAAAATACTATTTACTTAGAAGCTCTGCTATTTGATTTTTAATGCATTGTTGTTTTAATGTAAAAATTATTACACATACATAAAAAAATATATGAGCGCTTGTGAGCAGTTATTAGAATTTAAGCCATGTTCGATTTATTGCGGAATCCTAGTTTTAAATAAAGTATAATTTTGTTGTATAAATAAGGGACATAAACTAAACGTAGGAATAGAAATAGCAACGCAGTACTCACATCCAACTGTCAAGATCTATGTTGGCAATATGCTTACCAGAAACAGAAAATGGTGTCGAAAAATATATATTTCGACAACAAAGTCACTGACACTATCAAAATAATACTTAAAAAGTTATAAAATATGAAAAAATCCATATAATAGCTTAATTATATTAACGCAGAATTAATAAAATTTTTAAAACCCTAATCCTATAGGTTAGGTTAGGTTATACTAGCAATCCGAAAAATTCGCTTGCACGTACTGACTGCCCATTGTGCTGCCTTTTAAGAAACTCAAAGGCTTTAAAACCACATTGAATCTTTAACAAAGCCTAAAATGTTCTATAAAGTGAGTTCCTGAAGTTGGTCAAGATCCTAAAAATAGAAGACGTTAATATAAATTGACACATTGCATGCGCTGGGCAGTAACAAAACAGATATGTGACACTTATATCGTCCTTTCTTCAACTATGACACAAATGATTTAAGGAGAGATTTAATCATACAGCATGCTTTCTCAAACGATTGTGAGCCGTCAACAAATCCCACTAATAAATTCTCTAAAAACAGCAGTTCTTTATGTTATCATAATATCATAATATTACCTATTATATTATTATGAGTTAACTTTAAGTATATGAAGTTATAACAAGATAAGATGAAACAAGATAATATAATATTCTATATAAATCGGTAGATGGTAAAAATTTAAGAACTCAGATTTTTAACCCAGCCTCTTAATCTCTCTCCTGATATTCTACATTAGCGTCCCCAATCTGTTCTTTAATCAAAGATATAACAACCATACTCTATAAGTATGGTTGGTTGGTTGCAATGACATGCTAGCAGATATCTTTTTTCTGAGCACAATAATGTTTTACAAGATATATTATAATATATAAAAAGACAAAATCTAAATTCTTCCCATCGAAATTAAATAATTGAATAAATTTTGCGTTCTTACCAATGTACAGTCCGATAAATTGTCAAAAAAGTACTATCAAAAAACCTATTTTTTCTAGAGAACAGAGCTGCGCACATTCACAGAGAATCTGCTTAATTATTTCTTTTTCCTGTAAATTTTCTCAATTTCTCTAATGAATATTTTAAGAAATGCGAGTTTCTCTGCATGGGTTTCTATACACCAGTGACCAGAGAGAACTACAGTAAATTTTGCTGTACCTTTCACGCAGACCCTTTTAATGGGTTTTCAAGACCTGATCTTGTTATATGAGGGTCGATTTAATCAAGAAGTTACACAACTTATATCTTTATTGTCTCCCTGAAAATAACTATCGAAGACAGTCGAAATATCGGAAAATATTTTAATAAAATAATTTGCTTTAAATATAAATAATAAATTGCAGTTTTTTTTATTTTTATTTAAATGAACAATTAGCTATACTATATACTATAAAATATGATATTGCTTATGCAATAACTAGTGTTATATGCAATATAAGTTATAGAAGATGTTCTAAGTGCAATACGCAGTAATAAAATGGATTATTGAAGCTTATTTACTGTTTCAATTTTTTAGGTTTATTTAAAAATTTATTTAAAGTTATAGATTTCAAATAATAAATAAATTTTAATATTGTATAATTGTTTCTTTGTGATATATGCTAAAATATTGTTATATTATATTATATAGTTCCCTAATGATGACTGTAGAATATAGTCAAATTTTGGTTTATATAAAATAGAGGAAATATAGAGGAAAAACAATTTTTTAAAAAGTGTGTTATTTAAATACTGATCAATTAGCCCGTTTAAAAACAAAATTATTATTATTATAATAAATTATTATAATAACTACTAGAAAATATTGAATGGAATTAATTTATTTGAGAAAATCTAATTATTTGAAAACCAAAGTTTTCACTATAAAACATTTTAAAATAATTTCTCCTTTTCATTTAATTTTAGTTTTAATTGTTGATTAAATATGATTTGTCTTGAAAAAACATTTTGAAAAAAATTTTTGTGTATTAAAATTTTGTTATTTGTTAAATCAATTATGTATGTAGAGGAAGATGTGCGAAGATACTTCAATGATCGCGTACACAAAATCTAATAATTTCTAATAATTTCCTAACCGATGGTTACAAGACCAAATTATGCCATACAAAGGCAACCATGTTCAATTATGATTTGAAGCAAAATTGATTCCCAAGCAGAGTCAGTCAGTCAGTCAGTCATCAAACAAATTTTGAACAAATGTAAAATTAAGCCAAAAAATCAAACTTCAATAACACAAAGAAAAATTAATGCAAGATTGGCAAGAGAACAATCAAAAAACAACGCCCCAAGGCTTACGATTTTATCCATAAACAGAAAGCGTAGAATAATCGTAAGAAATCAATTTGGCTTCAAAAATAACAAATATAAACAGAAACATTTCAAGAAAGTTCGAAACAATTGAATTCACTTCTTCCATAACCTGCATAACTACTATAACATTAACAAAAATCCGAGAAATCCGAGAAGTCCGAGAAAACTCACATAAAAACCGAAATATGGTATATGTATGTATGCTGGCTGAATGCTGAATATGGGTAAACTATAATTTCAAAGAAAAGTAATAGCCGGATGGATACCTTTTATAAATACTCCTGCATTCTGCATTCAGTATTCAGCATTCAGTATTCAGCATTCAGTATTCAGCATTCGACATTCAATATAAACATAATTCCCGTATGAAAGTATAAAAATAACTTAAACAAATCGTAGCCGCAACGGCAATGGGAATTGCAAACCGCTTTATTGCAGTAAAATTGGAAAAAAATCAAAAAGATACAAACGCAAACTCAAACTCAAACTCGAAACGTATACGAAAGATACGGGTACAATTGCACATCCGAATAGAAATGAAATGATTTCGAGCCTCGCAGAAATGATTGCTCGTGCATTTGGCATTGGTGATTTGCTGCAATATTGTTATGCGTTCGTTACACTTCCCAACAATTTGTGCCGGCAACAAATCAGCAATGCAACAGTCCGGCAACAGTCGTCCGGCAACAAAAACACAACCAGCAACATAAATGCTGCCATTTGATTTGTGATTCTTTTCGACAATTGCCACGTTTGCTACAAGATACCCGCAGTCTTTCTTTTTTTCTCTTAGGATTTTTTATTCGAGGAAGTCTTAAGATAAATTGTGGTCAAAGAAATTTTCCGCAGAAATCGGCTTACGAAATTTGTAGTTGTGCAACGTGAATGTCAAATCGAAAAACAAAATAAAAAATATTTAGTTTAAGAAAAAAAATCTATATAACTATACATTTGCGTTTTGCTTATCAAAATAAAAATAAATTTCTTTAATGATAACCAAAAATTGTATAAGATAGATAACGGTTTGGAAAACTATATCCTTAATCATCTACTCCACAGACCACTTAATATTGCCGATCAAAAAATCAGTGCAATACGAAAAATCGAAGAATTAAATAATGTGATTATATAGATTTGATAAAAAAAAATGACTTTTCAATGAAGTCAATGAAAAACCTTGACTTCAACAAGTGAAAAGGAAATTGATAAAAGATGGTTTGAGATAAAGATAAAAATTTTTTCGAAGGACGAAAAAGGACCTAAGTAATTTCGTGGTCTACTTGTTGAACAATGCGCTGTCCCAACAAAACTACCTTTTTTCTTTATTTACTTAAAATTTTTAATTAATGAAACGTACTTTAGAGCAGAATATACTCATTCCACATTTCTCAAGTAGTTGACTGAGTTTTAATGGCGCTTTCACGAACTCATCCAACCTGTCCACTCCTCTTAAAATCACATTATAAACATCAAATGGCTTTAAAATAATATTCCTAAGCATAACGAACATAATTTAATATTAGTTTAAACAAAACTTTAACAATGGGATAACTGGCCTAAATGGATCTATTAAGGAACACCGGTATAACCTAACCTAACCTGAACAAAAAGTTTATTTTACGATCCAATATAAATTCAATAATAATAAATTTATTTTTCCCTACACATAAAGCTAAATACTGATAACTCTGATACTTACAAGATAAGACTTACATTTTGACAAGAAATCTTACAAACTGTCTTACACTATATGCTGATAAAGTTATTGACAAGATTTATAACTATATAGCAAGTTTTTTTTTGTGAGAAATACCAGTTAAAAATTATTGAAATGAAATATAATATATATTTTTTTTAAAAGGACTAATTGGTCAATTTATTGAATAATAAACAAATTTATTTTTTTTTGTCTTTTAAAACTTTATTTAATTGTCAGCAATATTTCAACTAAAGTTTATAGTCATCTTCCGAATACTGACTATAGGCTGTAGTCATCGTCAGAATACTGAATACAGCATATAGCCATCTTCAGGGTACAGACTATAGTATATATAGTCATCTTCAGGATACTGACTATAGCTTATAGTCATTTTCAGGGCACTGACTATAGTCTAAAGTCACCTTCAAGGCACTGACTATAATCAATAGCCATCTTCAGGGTACTGACTATAGTCTATACTCATCTTCAGGCTACAAACTATAGTCTATAGTCATTTTAAGGACACTGACTATAGTCTGTAGTCATTTTAAGGGCACTGACTATAGTCTGTAGTCATTTTCAGTGTACTGACTGAAAGATTGAGTTTTATTTTTTTGACAAACTGTCATAAAACAGTTTTTCTTCTCTATGACATGTCTTTAAAATAATATATTTCTAATAAACAGTGAGAAGTGTAAAGATCAACAATTCATTTTAAAACTGTATATTTTCTTTATTTTAACAAAATAATTACTAATATTCTTAAATTTTTGCAAGTTTCAAATAAGCACTATATGTTTTCTAAATTTTTAAACAATATTTGAAATAATTCTTATAACATTTTCTTAGTTATCTATTCTAGCTTTTCCAAAGTTTTGAAACAATTATAGCATTTATATTGATTAATACGATTTCTCAATGTTTTTTTTTTTTTGTATTGAGTCACTCTAAATTTAAGCCTAACAATAAGTTTTAAAATCTCAAAGAGTAATAACATCACATTACAAATTATTTTATATAAACAAACTATAATGAAATATGTAAGAATTTATAGCCCTGGCTACTGTAGCCAGCGCTTAATTACCAGATATCACGGCGTATAAGTTGAATTAATCAGGGTAATCTTTAGGAAAGCAGGATGGAGGGTCATCATTTCGTTTCTTTCTAGAGGAATTTATCATATTAGCAAGAGGCCTAATCAGGGAATTTACATGGTTTTCAAGATTTGAAATATATTTCTGCCGTATTCTCTTAAACTCGACTTTAACCAGCGGAACTTGAAATGTATGTTTTCATTTCTAATATACCAGGGTGCACCAATTATCATTCTTAGCTCAAAGTAATTAAATAATATTAACTCAAAGTCAATCAATTCAATATAAAATCCATTTTTTATGAGTTCAGATATAATAAGTTTATAATAATTCTTCTAAAGATTTTATTTAGGTATTATTATCAATTTTATTTTTCTTTTTAAATATTCGTCATTTGCTGAGGAATGAAGCCTGATGGTGTGTATGTTATAAAGATGAATTCTTCATAGAATAAATATTAATTGATTTCTATTTGTTATTTTATAAATTTTTTTTTTCTCATGTAATTTCCCTGTCTAACTACAGATTTATCTGTCTATCTATCTGTCTTCATATGGAGAAAAATATGCATTAATATTGAGTTTTTTGTCTTTTTGTCACGCCCATTTCTATTTGAGTTCCCTTATGAGGCATTAATGATTTGTTGAAATTCTTTTTGAAATCAATTGAAGTCTTTGGATTTCTTTGGAAGTCGTAACACTTGTACCATTGACGGTTGCTCTTTTTTTTTTTCTTCAATTCGTTGCGTTTATATCGCAAAACTGCTTAATCACGACTATAGTCTGCCGCCAGTTACAGATAAATAAAATTTATACAATAAAAACACCAGAAACAAGATCGATAATAAAAAGTAAAAAGTAAAAAGTAAAAATTTCAAATAATATTAAATGTAATAACTGTTTGATCTTGTAATGAAGCCGGCATCTCTGTGAGTACTTAAGTGAGTTATGGGCGTTTAGTTTTTGGTGATATGCGTTTTTTCCTACGAACAACAGCAAAAATTATTTAAATTGTTAATAGTATATAGTTTTGTTGTATATAATTGTAAAATTAACAAAAAACTAATAATCAAATTGAACAAAAAAAAAACTTTTATTGATAATTGAAAATAAGATACTTCATTTATGTGTGCTTTTGTTTTCTTTTAAGGATTTTAAGTTTGTTTAAATTATTTCTGAATGTAATTGTATGTTGATTTGAACTTAAATAAAGTCTATCTACCTATATATGATTATTTAATTTATTAAAAATATTTTTTTTGTAATGAAATCAGGTAATATAATTATTATTATTATCTAAAATTGACCCCTAACTCTTTCTTATATTTTAATTATGTTAAGATGTTGATTATAACGATTCATTCTATATATATCAAACTATAAATATAATTACAATATAATTACAATTATAATTATTAAACTTTATAACAAATTTTTGTATGGATTTCGTATGAAATATAATATTAAGTGCCATAATGTAAACATATTGAAAGAAGCCTAAGAGTTAAACATTGTTGAATAAAAATCAGTCTGAAGGGTTACCATTTACCTAAATAGACTTGAATACTATCTACAAAATTTATGTTATCATAGACAACTTATATGTACTAACATAAATATATACTTGTGCTTATATATACTTGTAAATAGGTTCTGCACCGTAGCCAAAAATTTACTTCAGAACAGGCTTTTAAATAAATTCCGGAAATTAAAATTGTTTTTAAATTATTTAATATAAAAAATTATTTAAAAAATACTTTTTATATTATTAAGCAGTCATAATACATATTCAGTTGGAATACATATGTTAAATTAAATTAAATTATTTAAAAAATACTTTTTACCTTATTAAGCAGTCATAATACATATTCAGTTGATATACATATGTTGTATGAGTTTTTAAGTATACGGTAACACAATGGGTTTATAGGCCTAAGTGAATCCCTTAGGATCGATATAACCTATCTACCTATCTATATATGTTGTACAAATGTAGTATTTCGATTGATTTTAACAGGTTTTAGCCCATTAAAACCACACTTCTGCATGGGTGGAAATGAACCTCAATAGGTTGTTAATATACAAGGAGCATGAAGTAATTTATCATTTAAAGGATATCGATTTTTTTACTGGCATTTAAATAAGATTTTTAAAAAAATATATATAGTTAAAAAATATTTATATAAATGGGGCTCTGGATTTTATTTCATTAACATGATATAACAATCCATTTTGAATCCATGTTTGAAGGAATTACTTTACAATCTATGAAATTTCATTGATATAATTAATAAAACTCTCAATATTAATAATATTGATCCAAAACTATTTTATTTACATTAAAGATTTCATATATATCAAACGTTGCAAATAATCATTTTAATGTCCCAACTAATTGACTAAATAGAATGGACTCATCTTAATCATTTTTATATAGTATTGTAATATTATTAATGTTATATGATAATTCTCAGTAAATAAGAACAGTTACAGCGCAACGAAATGCATTGCATAACCGCAATTTCTTGTTTTTCTTGTTCTGAGCGGCCTTCTTTCATAAAATCAATTATACTATACATACGACTATACCAAAGTATACCGTACGACTGCACCATACATATGATTATACTATACGTATGACTATACCATATATACGATCATACTATATTTGCGACTACACCATACATACGATTATACCACACATACGATTAAACCATACATTCAATTATGCCATACATACGATTATGCCATACGTAACATACGACTATACCATACCTACAATTGTAACATATTCTTCTTAATTACTTTATCTCCGTATGACTATACTATACATATGAGTGTTCCATACACAGACTATACCAAATGTCCATACACCGACTATTCCACACTATACACCATACGTACTGATATTATTATATTATATTATATACATATAAAAAATAATTTATATGATATTTATTTTTTATACAATTTGTTGACCTAATTATATAATATATGTATTTTCTAAATATAAAATTTATATCTACAATTTCTTTATATAAAATGTGACAGTATAGATTTATGTACTCACCACTTATATGTCCATTCTCGTAAGCGTAGTCGCCGTTATCCAAACGATGTTTCTTCAATTGCGGATGTTGTGATAAATGTGTTGGCGGTAATGATAGGCCTACTGGGCCACGTTTCGGCGGTCTACCCGGTCTGGAACTGCGGAATTGCAGAGAGTTACTGTTGGGTTAAAACAATGGCAAGTGTCAGTATCATAACATTTTTTTCACCACAGCAACCGTACAAGAAAGAGTAGGGCGGTGGTGGTGGTTAAAAAATTGTGATACTAAATATTAGTTCAGAATTTTTTTTTATATACTATGATTGTCATTTTAATAATAAAAATGTATACAATTTAAATTACGATTATGTTAACTTAAGGTTTTTTTTGTTTTTTGAAATCTTAATTATTTTTTTTTTCCATTTTTTTGGAATATTTGTTTTTTCAATTATGTTTGCACAAAAGATTGCCAACATGTTTGCATTGATAAATAAATTAATATTTTTTAAATAATTTTATTTGTATTTGTACGCATCTTAATTACAACAACAATAGTTACCGGAAACACTGTAAACAGGTAAATTATTGCATCTTATAAAAGCAGCAGCAGAAAAATTTATTACATAAATATAAGATTCTTCTTAAATATTTTGCCTTATAGCTGGTGAAACTTTATGATATAAGAGAAATATAATATATCTTCGTCAAGCTACATTTGCTTTATTTACATATTAAATATTTAAAAAACTCAGAACAAATAATGAAAACGATTTTGTTGTTCATATTTGTTTATTTGTACGGCAAGAAGTTGTTTGGTTTTTTTTCTAATTTAACTGCAGGAAATTATGAAAACATTTGCGATAACATTAGTTTAAAAAAAAAAAAACAAAAAAAAAATAAAAAAAATTATGCCAACAACAACTGCAGACAACAACAACTACAACGTCAGTCAGACAATAGTTAGTTCAGATAAATAAAGTATCTGGTTATGTCGACTGGCTGTAGGCGTTGGTAAAAGACAAGCACATAAAGTAATTAGTTTAATGCTACTGTAGAAAAAAAAAATTGTAGGCAAATTAAATAAAAAATATATCAAACAAATTAAGTACCAAAAGCGCCACTTAGCGCCATTAAAAAAATTTGGAACTCATTTAAAGTGGCACCCAAAAAAATGCACCTACACGAATTAGGCCGCGGTTAATGTGATTATACACAAATTATGTTTTCCACAAAAACTTTAAAATATTTAAACGAGAAGAATTTTGAAAAACACTTGAAAATATGCACTATAGCTTATAGTGCAAATAAAAATGAAATTTTAGATTTTCTGCAGAGAACCCCATAAGTCTTAAAATGTAAATACACACTCGTATATCACTTTGACTATGGGTTAATGTTAGTTGGTTGATTGCAGTGGCAGGTCATTAGATAACTTCCGTGTACCAAATTTCGCCGAATATAGATAATTTAATAGATCTTTCATCCTTACCGACGAACAGTCTGTTAAACTATCAAAGAAGTATCTGCCTAAGAACCTATATCTTCTGGACGCCAAAGCCGTGTTAATGGACTTTTAAACACCAAATTCACAACATTATAAATATATGACAAAAAATAAACTATTTAAATATGATTACAAAGTCTCTGCTTATCTCTATTTCGAAGTCTATTTAATAAAAAATTTTTAAAGTGTTAAATATATAAGCAAAACGAACACATTTTTTCTTAAAGTGAAAAAATCTATAACTATTATAATATGTTATTATAATAATAGTATCCATAATACATAACTACATACAACAAACGACAACTTTCGATAGCAAATACAAAATTGTAATCCCTACTACACACGTTTGGTATTATCTACTGTTAAATAGCAACAAAGCGACCCATATCTACTAGATATTATCTACTTGATAGGTTCAAGACTCGAAAATACAATATACTTCAATATTTATAGATAGATCTATTAAAATTCAAACACAGAACACTATGTTTCAAAATAGTGACGCATCGATCTACATCTACACAAAAGCTAAAAAATGAAAAATATAGATAAAAGAGATATAGACTTAATAGAGAATGCAAACAAAAACTTACTCTCGACAAACAAAAGGTACGCTCTCTACAAATCTGTCCTGATATATAATGCATCAGCTTATACAAGAAGTAACGAGAATGATAATTACGAGATAATAAATAAGAGAAAAATTCTTTAGAGAATCTATGGACGTATTGACAACGAGTCTCGAATTAGTTAGAACTGTAATATACATTAGACATACCGCAACGTTGGCATAATTAAGCGTATTTAAATTTAAAGACTTCACTGTCCAATGAAATGAAAAAAATTTGCATCGTACTTCATAAGAAGAACACACAGTAAAGAAAGTATGCATCGTCTGTTGTGGGAACAGGTGACTAAATATATAAACGAAATTGATACTGTTAACTGTAGACAACAAGCGGCTGCTCAGGTTGGCTCAAGGAAACTATTTGACACGATCCACATTGACATATCACTATAAAAGTCAATAAAGTAAATAAATTATTAAGAATGGAATTCTATCAGTAAAATCTATGGACTATATAAAGGACTAAGATGGACTATATTAAATTGATGCTTGCTTCAAATATTAATCGAATGGTTTGAGTATGCTTGTACTTAAACATTTGTCTCCAACATTTTATAGCACTAGTATATATATATATATATATATATATATATATTTTAATATATATATATATATAATATATAATTTATATATATATATATATATATATATATATATATATGTAAAACTAGTAAAAACTAGCATCGACTAGCAACAGAGACATTAACTCTGTTAAATCAGCCTGTTAATAAGATAGTTAGACGTAGCTACCTATGAGGCAGAAATATTTAATACACAATGATGAAAAAATGAAATCTAGGATAACAAATAATAAATAAGTTCCATACATTAAGCAATGACCGGAAACGGGTTGTTTACTTAATAGCATTGATGATACTCTACGTATATAGGATTCGATTTTCAAATTTTTACTTTTACGAGATCTTTTTTAAGCTCAAACTTAAAATATATATGTAGGTCAAACGATTGACTCATAATGTTTAACTTAATATTTTTATTTAGAATGTTGACTAACTTGCTTTGAAACTCCATAGAACTGTAATTTTCTCACATAATTATTCGTTTGGACAAATATAACTAATTTATCTATAGACAAATAGACAAGCATTTGTAAACTGATAAAATGTTAACCAAAAAAAAACAAAAAAAGATATAATAATAGCCTTTGATACTCAATAGAAAAATAAAATAAGGTGTATATATAATTTTTTTTTTATTTTATACCATCTGATATATATGTACATAATGTTTCTGCGTACGCATCGAGAGAATTTGTATATAAATATATTTTCATAAACGACTCTGATTGTTTTATTGCCTTAGTAAACATTTGCGATGTAAACAATACAAAGAATTTACTACTGTTTTGCTACTGAATTTCCCATGTTTATCATTAAGTAAACATACAGAAATATTAATATTGTATATTGTTGCTATTTCAGCATATTTTTATTATGCTCGAAAGTCAAGAAAAATAAAAGTGAAATTACACAAAAATAGTAGAAAAAAACTAATGCAAACTGAATTATTTAAAGAATTCGCTAGGAAAATAAATTAATTTATTTTCTCTTATAATTTTTAATAAACAATCTTTTTGTTGATTTACTCTTTTTTTCCAGCAAGTTTTGATAAGCAACGCAATCTACAAAAACAAAAACAAAAACAAAAAAAATAACAGACCTTCATATGGTCATGACTCATGGGTTTAGGCGCGCACATTAACCGCTGACAGCTCTCACTCAGCTCCTTTGAACTAATATCTCAAAATCCATTTAAAACCAAAATAAAACAAAAATATGCCCCACATCGCCAATACAACGTCTACATACCAACAATAACAAAATCAAATGAATTAGCCTGATATGCATCCTATTTACAGAAGTCATCAAGAATGATCCTCGGCTTTAGCCACCAACCTACTGGTAAATAACTTATGTACGATACAATAAATCTTTCCTGCTACACATATGTCCCCCGAGTTAATGAATTTATTGTGCTATATTCTTAAACTCAGAGATATGTCAACACTCTTTCTTTCCATGTAGAACATTTGTTGCCCCAGTAGTCGCGTCACAGGTATATTTACTTCACTCTAAGACTTCTTGTGGACTGAAATCAAAACAAAGGGGGGCAAAGTGTAAATTGTAGGGATAGCGCTAATTTTTCCCAGTAAACGGGTTAGGTAAATATTTTTCTTAATACACTACATTATTACATGAATGCTAAGATTTTTTTTCTGTGTTGAAAAATTAATTGTTTAAAATTTTAAATTAAATTATAAATTGTTTTGCTTTCTTTATTTGAAAGTCAAATATTTATTTATTAAATAATTTTAATAAAGCTACTGGCAAATAGATAAGATTATTGTTCATCCGTGGAAGAGAAAATATCTGAAAAGACGGTGGAGCAACAAGTTAACAAATACAACAAATACAACAAATACAACAAAATTAATAAATTCTATGAAATGTTAGAATTTGAAATTTTTCGTTAGTCACATGCTTTTTGTTTTATTTGTTTAAATTTTTATTTTAATAATTTATTGCAGCGAATAACGTATTTAAACTAATAAGTCAATTATAAATAGTCGTAAATAGTGTTGATATACGAGTGAAAATACAAAAGCTACAAGTAGCACTGGTACTGATGGGCACGTATACTGGTGATATGCTAAAGACCTAAGACAAATGAAACATTTCATACAGAAAATTACGTCAATTATGTGAAGGCAGCTGTAGCTGTTAGCAACGGTTTCTAGGAGAATCGGTGACATCAACTCAAACAGATTTAAGATATAAGAGATTTAGCACAATCGGTCATAAACTTCTTTATACAAGGATGAAATGATGATATGTACCTATGAGTTCATTAATGCATTCATATTAATTTGATATAATATGCTGGAAGAAATTGGATTAAACAAAATAATCTATTATATAAAAACTTTTTTAGAACATATCAATTTTCTTTATACTATGATTATATACGCAGATTTTAGATCAGTCGTTGAATAATCACGAAGCTTATGAGGAATACATAAATTA